ACAAAACGATCAGCTCCCTCCCTTTCACCTATTAAAAAAGAATTCTTCTTGATTTATTAGCTGTATTATTTTATTTGACTGGTTCAAAACTTTGGAGTCATCTCTGATGACTTATTACTGCCCACACGCAGTCAGAGCCTGTAGCTTCATTCCCCTTGACATGTTCTTTTAATCTATTCCCCCTACTCCCACTGCTCTTGAGTCCCCTTTCCCAGACTACTGCTGTAGCCTGTTTACTGAGTTCACTGCCCCTCACCTCTCCTTTATCTATTTTTCAAATTTCAGAAGTTATGGGACACTTCTGAATGTGTCACACTCTTGTTCAGAACCGTTGATGTCTTTTGAGGGCATAGAATGAAGTGTATATTCTTTGGAATAAACTTGATGGTGATCTATGGCCTGGCTTCATCCTGCTTTTCTGGATGGATTCCTTACCATAGTCTTTCATATACTTTATGCTTCAGCCAGACTGGACTACTGCTTTTCCTGAAAATCCCCAGAAGGTCTCAATATATCTGTTAGTCTAAGTCCTACCTTATCTATTGCATAAGCATATTGTGCCTACTGCAGACCAAGTATTGCTCTCAGCACTGAGGATTAAAAGGTAATTGACATCATTGAGAAATGACTAGGTTCGAACATGATGGAGAGGAAACTTTATTATAGAGAATTTTTTGTATGTTAAGCTAAGGAGTATGAATTTTATCTTGAGAGGATAGATAGCATTGAGGAATATTAAATAGGGGAGTAACATAAAATTTCAATTTTAGAAAATCCACTTTGGCCATAGAATAGAAAATGGATTGGAGAATAATGAGACCCAAGGTAAGGAGAAAAGTTTGAAGAAGGCTAGGGTTAATTGTCCAGCCAAGAGATGATATGCATTTGAATTAGGATGGAAGTGTGGAGATGGATTTTATTTGAGAGATGTTTAAAATGCAGAATTGACAGGATCTAGTAACTCACTGATTGATTGGGGGACATGGTAAGAGTAGGAGGATTCTTAAGTTTCTGGTTTGTGTGCCTTTAGTCAGGACAGAGAATGTAGGAGAACCTGCTGGGGTGGAAAGAGTGGCATTATAAGATGAATTTTGAACTTCTTGATTTAAAAGTCATTTTGGGTTATCCAGGTGGACTTGTCAAACTGGCAACTGGTTGTTGGTATCTGGTGAAACAGATTTGGGACTTCCAGGTGTGTGAGTAGAGCCATGAGAATAGACAAAGCTTATATCCTATGAAAGACTTACACATGAATGTTCATGGCAGTTCTGTTCAGCAGAAAATTGGAAACAACCCAAATGTCCATCAGCAGGTGAATTAATAAACAAATTGTGATATACTCATACATTGGAATACTTCTCGGCAATAAAAAGGAATGAACTGTTGATATACAAGACAACGTTGCTGAATCTCAAAATAAGCTGAATGAAAGAAGCCGAAGAAACCGCCCCCTGACTCCTCGAAAAACACCACAGTATATACTATAAATTTCTAGAAAATGCATCCACAGTGACAAAAAGCAAGTCAGTAGTTATTTTGGGGGGATGCTTTTATGTTCATTTGTCTTGATTGTACCAGTAGTTTCAGGAGAGTATACATATATTAAAATCGAACGGATTATACAGCTCAGATATGTGCAATTTATTGTAGGTTAATTGTACCTCAAAGATGTTAAAGTAGATGAGGCCACCCACTGAAAATGATTAGAGATAAGAATGAAATAAGGCTGGCATCAGAACTGGGGAAATAGAATGGACAATAGGGTGTAGGGGAAGAGCAGAGGGAAAGGCATGAGTAAAGGAGATTAAGAAGGAAAGAGTCAGGTAGAAAGAATGGGACCTTAGTGTCTGAGAAGCTGAGAATGGAAGGAGTTTCAAGAAGAGTGTCATTAACTGTATTAGGCTATAGAAAAGTCAAATAAGGGGCCTGAAAAGTGTTAGATTTGACAGCTTAGGGGTCACTTACATCCAAGCAGTTTCGGTGTGAGAATAGAAGATGGAAAAGCATGGAAAAAGAATAGCAAGAACAGATAAGTTTCTTCAGACTTTTTTTTCCCCCTAGAAGCTTGGAAATGAAGGGAAAAGAGATACTTCTGTGGCAAGAAGGGGGTTCAAGTTGGGGAAGACACTTGTTTTTTATTTGAAGGTGATGGAAACTTGTTTATGTTAGGAGGCTTTGGGGAAGGATCTGATAGAGAATGCTAGTGAAGATACTGAACAAGATGAGCCCAGGAACACAGCAGTGGGATTTGCCTTGAATTATTTGCCAGGTACTATTTTAAGTGCCTTGCATGTGTTCTCTAATTCTCACAGTATACTGTTATTGTCTCTATTTTATAAGAGAGAAAACTGAGGTTTGGAAAGGATAACTTGGTTACAGAGTCTGCATTTTT